CATACCAAAAAAAAAGAACTCTCTTTGGCGTATCCTTTCTATTGGCCACCAATCTTTCCAAACCTCTGAAGACAATTCCTAACCCAAAAGGCTTCTCTCAGAGCCTAAGTATTGAACTATTGCATTGGTGACAATTGAAGCAGCAACAGAGTCCTTGCCACCATATATCCAGTCGATGAGTGCACCATCCCAGCTGTACCGCCAATCCCAACAACTCTTTGAGGTAACACTGAAAGAGGGCCCCCCATTGGAATTACACAATGCTTATCCTCTTCAATGCTTCTAACTTTAATACCTAAGTGACACAACCGAGCTACCATTCTTTCCTTAATATCATCCATAGGCACTCCAGGACGAGCTACAAGGGATGTTTCTTCAAGGAATATTCTTTTCGATGAAAATGGCATCGCATAGAGAAAAGTTGGAATCTTACTCTCTCTCCTTCAACTCTTTATTATTGTTGAGGTGTGAGTCGCACCAATCCATGAACACCATTTTACTTACATCAAAATGGTGTTCTTCCACTTCTGCCAAAATCCCATAGGCTACTTGATAGCCCGGATTATACGACTTATCATACTGTACAAGACATCTGGAAAATCCAATTGCATTAAGAACCACAACAACCTGAATAGTAACACCATCATTACATATCAACAAAGATTTTGATTCCTCGTGAATTACTTTCACAACCTTGGCTTGATGAAATTTAACACGTTTGAAATGCATTTCTGCATCATTTTTTATTTTAGCTGCTTCCTGTTTACCCTCCCATATGTTCTATCAGGATCTTTAGTTGTCTTGTCATCAATGAATACCATAGCACCCGACCAGGTGGTATCAAGACAATCCACTTGAAGTTTTTAATTGGCAATCACAGAATGTTTGTCTATCATTATTCAATTAAAATAAGTTTATAATTGTGAATTTTTAAAAAATGTGTAATTAAAAAAAAAACTTTCAAATTTACATACAAAATATTTTATTATACAAATGTGTGATTGAAAATGAGTTTGATAAAAAAGAATTTTGAAATAATGGTAAACAAACATGGACTAAATTTCACGATGCAAGAGAAAATATTTTTGTAATTTTCTTTTTAAAATGTTAAAAACTGTCATCAACTTTATATTTTGGCACCAAATATCTCAATTTTCCAAAATATAGCAAAATTTGTCATTCTACTATTTTGACCACTTAAAATGGTGAATTTTCTCTATCTTTGTGTGTGTGAGTGGGTGTGTATTAAAAGGAAAGAAACTAATTAAAAATAAAAGAAAAATTATCGTAAGAATTTTGAAAATTCATTCTTTTAAAACTCATATTCAATCATGCATTCTTCTATAAAATAATATTACACGTAAATTAAAAAAATTTCCTTAATTTTGAATCACACATTTTTCATCAATCTAATATTCGAAATGCATTCTTTTCCCCAAAATGGGGCTCAAATAATGGCTAAATCTTTTTAAAATTCAACAAATTCAATTCACTGAACTTTAGTTTACATTATTACTTGCTCACCAAACTATAAAATTTATCTCATTACGCATTCATCTATTCAATTACTTACCTATCCATCACCTATTTAATCTCCACCAACTTCAATTAATGGAATGTGTCACGTGTACAAACTTTAAATCTGGCCAATTGGGCCAAAATCGCTAAAAACCCAACATTATAATAACACGCTATTATGTAGCCTCAAAAAAGGGAACCCCCAACATCATGAACCCTAGCAATCGTCCCCAAAATCCCAGCTGAATGTTTGAATTAAAATATGCAAGGAGCAATGTGCAATGCCATATGTACTTAGCCCAGAAGGATATCTGCAATTCTGCATCAGAGAGGATTGCCGCAGAGAGAGAGAGGATTGGAAATGCTGTGAGTCTTGATATGACTTTCACATTGTTCTTCATTGTAAACTTTTTCTACGAAAAATATTAATTACTCTTCTAGTTATCAAAATGCTATAGGGTTTTGTTTCAAATTCAAGAACCGAGCGAAGATGTTTCACTGGAAAAAAGGGGATTTTTCCATAATGCTAATGTTCAGGGAAAACACAAAATGTTGGCAATCAGTTCTCTTACAATTCATTGATATTTAATAGGGAAAATTGTAGCCAAGGTATCCTGACCTGGAGGAGGTGATGGGGAAGCTGCTGGTTCAACCGATCGAGGGGAAGCTGTTTGCTGACTTATACTCAATTGAAGGGTCCAAATCTTTCGTCTATTAGTAGACTTTGCTCAAACCTTTCATTTGTACTATCGTGAGTGCCAAACCTTTGAAAAATTCGTAGCTCAAGTCCAAATTGATGGAAATCGTCAGTTTGGCCGTGTGTTGACTAAGAAATGAAAATTTTTATAATATTGACCAAATAAAATAAAGGCATTTTAGTCCAAACACAATTGCCCTTCACAAAATTCCTCCTCTTCTCTCCATTCCTCTCTTTAACATAAACCAATCAAAGTTCACCCATCCTGCCGACAACCATTCTCCACCCATCGTCGATGTCGTCCCACTGCAGCAAATCAACTGATCTAGAACATTCATCTAGATCTGAAAGATCCAGTGTCGAAATGGATGACCTAGTCTACGAACCCCAAAAAAAAAGAAAAAAAGAAAGGCATAATCCCGAATTTCGAGCCTTGTACCCACCGAACCCAGTCCTTCACTGCCACTAAACAACATAACATCTCTTGGTATAGAAACCCAGTCCTTCTAGGCTAACATTTCTTCTCTGATTTTTGTGGTCTTTGTATAGAAACGCACTACGCAAACACAATAAGAAGTTAGAAAAATAAATTTCTTTGTACAATGATTGAATGGAACTTATTTCGACCATAGAATCTAACAGGCCAACTCACCCCCGCCCCAAACTCTACAAACTTTCCAGACACAGAAAAAGGAAATTTAGAGAGAGAGCAAAGGAAGACATCCATCTGATCGCATTTATTGTGGTGGTATTGCGACAATAATGGTGGATTGTTTTGGTGGGATTGTGGGATGGGTGTCGGGGGTTTGTGAAGGAGATGATGACCCATTTTCCATTTTTCCTTTTTTATGGTAAAATGGCCATTTTAATCTTATGGTCAAATTATTAAATTTTTAATTTTTGGGATCAACTGACGATTTTGGTAGTCAAACTAACGATTTCCATCAATTTAGACTTGAGCTGCGAATTTTTTAAATATTTGGTACTCACAGTGGGACAAATAAAAGGTTTGCGCAAAATCTGCTAATAAATGAAATGTTTACCTTGGCTGCAATTTTCCAAAATAAAATAATTTAGCTTATTTAAAATAAATAAAATAAAAAATTAGAGAAATTCGGTTCTTGATCTAGAATTGAGAACCGAACCTAATTTGTCGGTTCTCAATTCAAATATCTGTTTCGGGATTTAAATTAAAAAGAACCGCTTAGTTCGGTTAGAGTCCAATTTGGTTGGTTCAGTTCGAAAATTTTGCCCAACTCTTTATCCATATTTTGTATTCTTTTAACTATTTAAAAAGACTCTATATAGAGAACCTCCCAATCCGCTAAACAGTCACATCTCTCGTTACATCAAGAATGTGCATACCCTTATGGATGACGCAGCTTCTCCATTTGGCGAAATGTTTTGGAGCAGAATTGGCACCACACCTGTTGAGGCGATTCAGCCACCCAAAGTTCAAGTTAGATTTTTCGAACTGTCCAAAAAAGGAAAGAAAATAGATAAAAAATAGTCTAATGAAAATAGTAATTTAACATCACAGAATGAATTTTGGCACTAACGACGAGAGGCAAATAAGTATTTTTAGTAAACGAAATTTTTAGACAGTATTTACTAAGAGGAACACCTTGTGTTAATTCAAGAATAAAAATGAGATGAAAAAAAAAATCTTATTCAAAATCAATTATCTTCTCATAATCCAATAACAAATAAAATAATAAATTGAGCCAAAGTCTAATTATTTAGATTTATTGGATTAAGTAAGCAGCACTAACGTGACCTAGAGAAAAGGTTACTCCTTAAACATTCTATTCACCAGTGCTGTGCCACCACATTCTGGCGGCGAGAGGGATAGGAGGAGTGAAGTCCAAGCCACTTATCAATGCATTTGACGTGGAATCCATGGTCGCACTGTGGAAGCACTCAGAGTTCATCTTCGTCGACAAACTCCTCCTGGCAAATTGCACAGTCGGAGAGGCTGTCGTTGTTGTCTGCAGTGTAGGTCAGCTTCGGAAGGTTCTTCAAGCCATTGTTGGTTGGTGCAACGCCGTTCCTATCCGAGAGTCTGATGTAGACAAACGTGCAGACGAATCCGGTGAGGAACATCGCTAATCAGATGCCGAGATTTACTAGCAGAGGCGAATTTGCGCCACTAAGAAAATGTGAACCTGGAGACATGTTAATGGATGCATCCGAATTTTTCCATATGTACAGAAAACCTACAGAAATCTCATACTGAGATGGATCCCAGAAAATAAAATAATGCAAAACCCCACCAACTTTGTTGTTGTGTCTGTTCTGTGTATATATTTTCTGTACACACAGCAACGTCCGATAATTATTAATAATTTTTTTAATTTTATTAAAATATTTAGATAAATTCTATCTAGAAGAACTCTACTTGGTTCTCAAAAGAAAAGAATAAATAAATAAATCATAAATCATAATTTTATAAAAATAGCCAAAAAAATTTCCCTAATTTTGAATATTATAATCAATGACATTAATCCTGTTTATAGAAACTTGAACGAGCATAAAGTTATTTAGGAAAATATTTATTTCCCCCCATTTTTGCTTCTACAATATATAATCTTTCTTTATTTTCCCTACTTTTACTTCTCGAAAGCCAATTAATGGCATGATGAATACTTTGGATGATCATTTTATGGCAATTTACTATATTCATCTTCGATCAAATTGTGTTAAATATTCCGACAAATTGCAATAAATCATAAAAATTGGCCCAAAAATATTCATTAGTCGACTCAAAAATTTTAAGGTCACATAGTGCAATGACAAAAAGCGCACACTCAATATCATTCACCTAAAATCATAGTATCCACCGAAAGCTATGTGGTCATTCCAACTAATATACAATAATTACCTCGATATACAAAGAAGCTGATTATCGTCAAAACATCTATCAAACAATTTAAACAAATCTCAACCGTTGGTACCTTTACAACAAGTAATGACAGTCGACACATCTCTATGCCAAATCTTTACAAAAAGCAAAAACAATTTAAACGGGATGTTCTTCAATTGCCTTTTAACTTTACCTATTATCTTCTACAACAAGGAAGCCGTAAATCCTGAAAAGGATGTCTCAAATGGACTAATAATGAAAGCTTACTGTTAACTAGATGTGTCGACTTCCTTTCCATTATCATCCTCGCGAATGTGTTTTTTCAACCTTCTCAACCAAATTTCATAATCCATAGGATAAGGTGTTCCGCAGAGGCTGTCAACATAATCTGCAAATGCTTTCAATACAGCTGAGATGTCTCCAAGCTTTTGTTGTATCAGCCTCCTTGACCAAGCGGTTTCTCTCCACTGAAGTGCCCCCTCGACTGAGTCCAGAACAGGCAAATCCCCACCGGAAGAAAAGTAAAGCATATATACCAGGCTCTCTGCATCAGAAGCAGAGCACAGTTTCCCCTCCTGAAGGGCAGAAGTAGAAGAGAAATGAAGGTTCATTGCTGGACGGTCCCTGTCTTCTAAAATAGCATGTCCCCAACCGATAAGGACGTAGTAAGGCTGCCTTGCACCAGATGTCACACAAATAACATTCTCAGGCCTGATGTCCCCATGCCGAATTCCCCCCAATGCGGCAGTAGAAAGGGCAGATAAACAATCATGGCAACATCTGATAGCTTCATCTAATCCAAATAGGCCCGTTCTAACCATGTCAGCAACAGTTGTGCCAACTGGGCTGGTTACCAGGACAGGAGTACCACACCATGGGTGGTCACAATTACCACCGGAGCTTGGTCTCCGACACTGACCGGGGTGAATTAACTTGCCTGATGCACTCAAATGGGGAATATACTTGCTGGACAAACCTCTCTGTTTCACAACACTCAATACTTTAGTTTGCCTCTGAACTTGATACCACAACTTCATATCTTCCCACGCTGGCTCTAGCTGAGAAGGATGTGAACCAACATACAGAAACAGATTCTTTCTTGGGTCTTCAACAGATGATGCCATATAATATGGGATCTCACCATCATTCAGCACTTCATTAATCTGATAACCGTTCTGCCAATCTGAATCCTCTATCCACAAAACAGACCCTACTTCTAGCTTCATCAACTTATCCGATTCAACTCTAGCAGATTCTTCCTGTACTTCAACAATTTCAGGTGAAGCACTTCTCTGCTGGAACCGAAACAAGCCATTTCCATTCACCCTTGTATCCCCTAACTGCCTCTCAATCCTTCTCGCTTGAAGACGGGAACTGTGATCGGCAGCTAGATCTTCAACCGAGTTCTTAGGCATTCCAGCATATTGTGTAATGGAATGAAATGTAGCAAAAAGTACCTGTAGAGCACCGATATCACCCCAGTTAGCATTTCCTAGCTTGTTCCAGATCATATCAATGGGGGAAATTGCAATTCGAGAATGATTTCTTATCCATGCAGCAGAACATTCATACACATTATTTACATCAAACTCCAACTTATTCAAATCACCTTCGACTTTTATAACACCACCATATTGACAATCGACTACTAGAACAAACACAGAATTCAAACTCAGAGGAATACTTGATCTGCTGAGACTTCTAGCGAGCAATACCCGAAGAGCAAAAAACAAAGCTTCACCTATAATTGGAACTGATGGCTTACAGTTATTTTCTACTGATGCAAGGGTTCCAGTGTCGGGCCTCAGAAGTGCTAATTCAAGAATATCATCCCACTTTCCTTGTGGATGTCTAGGGTTCTTTAGCATTATAGCTGTGGCACAAAGTCCTTCAAGTTTACCCTTAGCAATTGCTTTCTCAGCTTGGTAAAATCTCAAGTTCGCATTGTACAAAGAGGAAACAAAGAAAGGCATCGGCTCATTCTGCTGACCCCAGAAAGACTCCCATAAGCTTTTCGCACTCGCATGCATGAAGTCCTCGAGAGCAAGATAAGCAGTCGCTTCAACAGTACTGGAAGTTGATGCATATATAGCACTAGGCATCCGAATCAGCTGCTGAAAGGGAACACCTTCGAGTGCATAATCAAACTTCTGAATATCCACCAATTCGAAAGGAACATCAAAAGCAGGCATTGTATTATCTTCAGCATTATTCTCAATCCAATCTGTAAGCTTTTCAGTCAGTAGATCACTATCCAAAAATCTACGATAAAACACTTTTCGATCCTGTGCCCGACCACCTGATGAAATACTGGATTTTTTTGTACCAGACTCCAATGAATCCCGATCTGGGGATTTACCTGTGATATATTGAATTTTACACCTCTGTCAGTTGTTTTAGGGAATTCAAAATGAAATAATTTTGTGTTTACATAAAAAAGAGTCAGCAATTAACTTGAAACAACCTCAAAATGACACTAACTGAACAGAAGCAGAACCAGAAGCAAGATAGACACTCAACAATCCAACAAAAATTGGCAATCCATGATATCACCAAAAATGAACCACAAAACAAAAATAAGTAGATTAAACTGAATTTCCCGCCAGTTACAATAATTGTAAGGAACAGGTGTTTTAGAGAAGACCAATTTCATCATTAATGAGTTTTATGTCTGATGCATTTCGCCTCCCTGAATCAAAGTGAATGCAGAATGCCTTGTTGAGCTAGAAAACCTGAGAACATTCAATTATGAAAATGAGCCCAATAATAATGCCTAAAAAGAACAAGGTTGTGGAACACACTTCAGCAGCACAGTGGCTCATGTCCAGAGACATGCGCCTCAGGAATCAGGGTGTGCCTAGGCAAATGGCACTTAAAGCATAAGCTTTGAGGCTATCAATGAAGCTCTGGTGAGAGTCTCAAGGCGCAACCCTCGAGTGACTTTGAAAGCAAGAAGGACAATGCCCACAATTGTTAAAATTAAAATGTGCCCCCTCCTAGTTATTGCCCTTTACCTCCCTCCGTTATATCAAACAGTCATTCACCCTTTTCATTTTTCTATTTTCTTTTCTGGCTTATGTCATTGCTACATTTTCACCCTTAAGCACACACAAGCAATTATAATCAATGCCAGCAGAATTACCAGTTTATATTCAAAAGCTTCTTCAACCAGAAGAAGCACTTCTATTTTTTGAACACTAAAGGAGATCCATGCCAAAGTTCTTCATCTCCTAAAGCTGCCTCAAATACTTAAAGTAGAAAGGGTCATTTGATCAATCAAAAACAAATGTAAGAACAAAGCAGTATGAAAAGAAACCAAGAAATCTCCCCCCTTTGCCTGGATAGCCAAATTGTTTCTGCATATCCATTTTACCATTCCCATTGCACAGACCAAAAAATTCAAACACCAAATTATCCAACAAAGTACCAGGGAAAAAAAAAAAAACATACCAATCATTTCAATCATAGATATCCATCAAACTAAAATAATCTCGAAAAATTCAAAATAAACACAAAATCAAACAACAATTAGCAGAACACTAAATAAAAACTTAAAACCAATTCATAATTCAGTCAAATAAACAGAGAAAACAAAACGAAATTTAGGGTTTACCTTCCATAGCAGAGAGAAACAAAAAAAAATTGAATCCAAATGAATACTGCTTTTAGATCCTTGGCTTCAGAGCTGACATCAGTAAACAGCAAGTCTTTAACGATCCCAATATCCTCTCTCTCTCTCTATCTACAGCACACGCACTCTCTCTCTCTCTATAAGTATGTGAGTGCTCAAAAATGCCTCAGTTTTGACAGAAGCGTGTATTATTTTAGTCGCCTTTTTTTTTTTTTTAGGCTTTTTTAAAAATAATTAATAGTTAATAATGATTGTGCCTGTTGTGTTCTGGTGCTTTTTATAAATAGAAAGATACGGTTACGTACAATGTTTGATGCGTGAAGTCTCAAAATTGAGAAAATTTTCAGTAGGACGGTGCGATCGTCCAATTAGGGTGCACCATCTCGACGAGTGATCCACCACTGACCACATGCTCCCGAGATTTGTGGGTCACCAATTGAGGTGGCACCTCAATATTGAGTGGACGCACCATTCACCCGATAAAGATTCAACCCTTGAAATTAGTTATGGATCTCACAATTTGTTGAGGTGAATGTAAATCTGTTTATTTGTGTTCCTTTTACACGACCCATATCATTTTTTTTTTATAACTTTAAAGCTCTCTTAAAATTTTGCAATAAATAAATTAATTATCTTTATTTTAAAAAAATTTAAAACTGAAAGTCAATAAAAATATTAAATTACCCTTTTCTATTTTTTTTACTTTAGGGAATCCAACTTGCTTTGCATGATTCAACTATACCACTTATTCATATTTTTTTTTATTTGATTTATGAAAGAGAAGAAAAAAATTGTTAGGATAATATATTGCACCTACAAATTATTTGTAGAATAATTCCCTATGTGTGCATTTTTTTGGTCCATTTTGATGAAAACCAATCAAAAATTGATAAGTATCCAATTTGTGAAAATTCTGTCACACTCCCCCTAGACTTGTAGCATCACCCTAATTTGTATGCAATGCATGTTATAGTGATTCACAAATTATCGTTAAGTCAATATATATTATTGTATTCTAAATTTTTTCAATATCAGTTGAATATGAGTAAATTTAATCTAGATCTCAATCGAGAATTCATGCAAGGTGAATTTGGTGGGAGAAACATAGTTTGTTGTAGGACGCTCTTATGCAAATTCAAGGATTGAAATGGCGGACATTTATTTTATTTTATTTTTTTTATTTTATTTTTTTTCAAGGATGATAAACAACTTAAGAGACCTTGACGCTAAAGGGGGAAAAAAGAATGGGGATGGCATTGCACCCAAAGCCATAGGTTAGTGACGAAGGGCACAATTTTACCTCAAATTAAACATAACGTTAGATAATTTGAGTACCCACATTTTAAGTTTGGGGCGTTAAAAGAAATTAATTATACTTCTCTCTCTCTCTTTCTTCCCCCTCGCTGTGTGCATTGTGAAGTCAATTTATCGATCAGAGGAGGATTTCGCTTTCTGATTTTCATTTTTGTGGTATTTGGTAAGTCCCCTTCTTACATCAAAATCTCACTGAGATTCCATTTCGAAAGGTAATATTATCATCTGGGTTTTTGTTTATTTTCATGAAGCTGAATCCAGTACAATTAATTTTCTAGTTTTGTTTGAGAATTGGAGTTATAAAATGACCAGGTTTTCTGATATATATATATAACTGTGTTTTTTTATTCAGTGGTCGAACTAAGGTGGAATGAACACTGTTAATTCCTTGCTTCATCTAATTCTGATCTGAAAGGATTCTCTTTTACGTGTAAAGTTCTTTTCTTTGATGATTAGACTTAAGGGCTTGATTTTTCTTTGTAGAATTATTACTTGAAAGACTAAATTTTCTTTATTCAAGATTCCACTGACACTGTGTGTGACAATTTTTTTATATTAGTATACTTTTCTTGAGAGCTAATTTTTATTTTGGTCAACAGAGCAATTCATTATGAAATTTTGAGTTGGGAAATTGATTGAAAAATCATGTTTTCGAGTTTTTGTCTATAAGGGATGTATAGGTTGTTGAAATACTGTTGTGATTTTTATTGCTTCTGTGCCCCTTTCATTTCTCATTTTCTCATGTTTTATGTTTTCCAATTTGTAATTTTTGTGGGGAACTATGCTGAATGTCTTCTTTTTTTCTTCTTTCGTATAATAAATGAACTTACTTGTATAAATCTTTTGTTAGGAGGTATTTCTCTTCTATAGAGCTAAAAACCTTTTTATCTCATACTATCTCAATACGTCTTCTTATGATGATGGAATAAAGCGAGGCCTCTCTCAGCAAGCAAGATGAGATCCCCATTTCTCTCCGATCCTTAAAAGGATAGCTAACTGAGTAGCCTCTGTAGAGGTACTCAAACTGGATCATTTATCGATTTCTAAATCCTATAATGATTGTTCTAATGTATCATGGAAATTTTCTTTCCTTTGTTTGACATATAAATCTCAGATCTTGAGAGTCAATTAGTTTAAATTTGTTTTTAGAAAATATTAGGTACATAGTATTCATTTCATCAAGCATGCCAGATCGCAATGAATTAGTATAGAATGGGTTTATGTTCTTAATCGCATGTTTCACATGTTTACAGCAGAGTGACTTGCATTGGTTACTTCTTCTGTACTAGGCTCAGTGTTGTTAACTTCTGCATTTGCAAGTTGGTGGCATTGTTTTCATGGCTTACAACAATGTAATTCACAGTTTTTGGGGTCGTCTTGTGTTTCTTTTAATGTAGGAACTAAGCTTTTTCCTTCTCTACTGTTCCATTTCGCTTGCTTGGCACGATTTTTTTTTTTTTTTTTGGGGGGGGGGGGGGATCTTGGGTTTTTTTTGACTTTTGAAAAAAAAATGTTCAATCATATCAGTTGGGGTCGTCTTGTGTTTCTTTTAATGTAGGAACTAAGCTTTTTCCTTCTCTACTGTTCCATTTCGCTTGCTTGGCACGATTTTTTTTTTTTTTTTTTTGGGGGGTGGGCGGGATCTTGGGTTTATGTTGACTATTGAAAAACAAATGTTCAATCATATCAGATTTGTGCAAAATAGGCCTAATAGTGGATATAGTTCACGAACTTGTTATGGTTCATTTCTTATAGACCATTTATGGTGTTTAGTTCTACTTCATATACACTTTAATGGATTTATTTTCCTATGTTGAATATAATAGGCAATCTCCTCACAAAGTGAAAGAAAAAAAGTTGCTATTTTTAAGAGTCTCAGGATTAGTGTTTCAGCCTTTCAATGGACCCTGAATTTAAGTGCTTGCTCCATTGTTTTGCAGGATTTTTTGTGTCTTGGTTATCGAGTCCTCAGAATCCATTCGACAAAAATTTAGGGGAAAACTTTGCTAAAGTACTGACTTTTGTTAGCAAAGTTACAGGCCGTTTGGAATCTTTTCGCTTTGCAGAATCTGCTATGGTATTGTTCCATTTTTTTCTCCAATGAAAAGTTCATATCTTGGTAGTTAACATTTTTTCTTGCCCCCAATGGGGTAAAGAATCTTTAAAGCATTGGCTGTAATAATCCAAGAATCATAGGAAGAAGTAAGCGATAGCGAACCTGAATAATTTATCGTGTTTTTCTTTGCAGAATACAGTGGTTAAGTTAATAACTTAACGGTGAAATGTGTCGAGTTTAGCTTCTTTTTTTTCTTATATAGATTATGCTATGTGTTTACATGGTTTCACGTTCTCATTTATTTCGCTGTGCCGACTATTGTAGGCAACCAATGAAAATCGTCCCCCAAATGTAATAAAACAGCTGGCAAAAGAATTGAAGAATCTTGATGAGGCACCTCCTGAGGGCATTATAGTAGGCGTAAATGATGATAACTTTTCAATTATATATGCTGATATCGATGGCTCGGGTATGATTTTCCGCATTTAGTCTTTTCCATTTTTGTCATCAAAATTTTTTCCCGGATTGATCATCTATAACCTTGCAGCTGGGACTCCATTTGAGAACGGTGTTTTCCGTATGAAGTTAATATTGTCCAATGATTTCCCACAATCCCCTCCCAGAGGTTGTGAACACATCAAAGAAATATAAGCCAAGTTTCTTTGGTTTCTTGATGTCATTATTTCATATGTGATGGACATGTAACCATTTGGGGACCCAATTGGTGCATTTTTTAGGCTATTTTCTGACCAAGATTTTTAATCCAAACATTTCCACCAATGGTGAGATTTGCGTAAACGCATTGAAGAAAGATTGGAACCCAAGTCTCAGACTGAGACATGTTTAGATTGGAACCCAAGTCTCGGACTGAGACATGTTTTAATCATAAGTTCTCTCAAACTTGGTGGTTTATCACCACGTATGTTCTTTCCATAGAGATTGATAGATCCGTTAACTTCTTAAGTGAATATGTTCCTTTTCGTCTTCTTTTGAATGACAGGTAATCAGATGCCTGTTGATTGAGCCATTTCCTGAATCAGCTTTAAATGAGCAGGCTGGCAAGATGCTGCTTGACTATTACGAGGAGTATGCTAGACATGCAAGGTTAGGACGTTTCATCCTAGTTTTTATTTCCTTCTCTTTATGACGTTTCATAAGTAGGAAGATGATGCCTCTTATTCATATGGTGCTAAATGGACTTATCTTTCTTATGAGGTTTACTGCACTATTGGTCTTTGATACTGTTTAGCCCCATCAAGTACTTGGTGCCGATCATACATAGTTTCTCTTGATGTATGAATTATTTGTGACTATATAATGAATTATAAAACATGCTTTCTAAGCTGAAGATTTTTTCTCGGGGTCTAAAATGATAGGCTTTACACTGGAATACACGCTCTCAAGCCAAAGCTAAAGTTCAAAACAGGAGTTATTTCCGAGTCTACCACTATCCGAAATGTTGATCAGACAAATTCCTCAGTTAAGAGTGCTGACCAGAAGGGTGCAGTACCAGGTGCCACATCTCCATTAGCCCCAAAACTCGAAAATGGACAAGATCAGCCAGTTGTCATAACTTCGACCACTGAGATGGGAGTTGGCGGATCAATGACAGCTCCATTGACACAGAAGAAAGATGGGCTGTCAAAAGCTCCCACAGAAAGATGGATGCAAGAAAGAAAAGCTTGAAGAGATTGTAGAAGTTTCATGGATTTTGTGGCTGATGGTTCCTGTTTATCCAATTGAACATAATTTTCTGATAAATATTCATCTTTCCTTGATATATTAAATTCGTTAATTTCAACTCACCTGCTCCTTTTTAGTATTTTGCTTTTGGTTTTTTTAAGGTTTGGTTCTGCATTATTTCTTGAATCTCTGTTCTTGTATATTTTAGAATTAGAGGAATTCATGAATCAAATAAGCAGAAGTACTCATAGATTCCAAGAATGTGAAGAGGTTATGCAAATCTTCTCAAGAACTTAAAAAGGGCAGACGGAAATTTAACAAAAACACGACCCAAAATATATAAAGATGAACCTCCATCACATACAGAGCATTACATTATTAATAGGATGACGAAAAAGGAAACTAGAAACCCAATACACTATTACACTATCCATTATTTTTACATTCATAGAATTAAGATTTGGTTAAGGTAGAAAATCACTTGGCCATCATAATCTTGACGAACTCTTCATAATTGATTTGTCCGTCACCATCAACATCGGCCTCTCTAACCATTTCATCAACTTCCTCATCCGTCAGCTTCTCGCCAAGGTTTGTCATGACGTGGCGCAGCTCAGCAGCAGAGATAAACCCGTTCTGGTCCTTGTCAAAAACACGGAATGCCTCCTTCAGTTCCTCTTCAGAGTCGGTGTCCTTCATCTTCCTCGCCATAAGGTTCAAAAATTCCGGGAAATCAATGGTTCCGTTACCGTCAGCATCCACCTCGTTAATCATATCCTGGAGATCGGCCTCCGTTGGATTCTGTCCCAGAGATCTCATTACAGTTCCTAGCTCCTTGGTCGTAATGCAACCTGCGCAGAACATTTGTTATAATACTGTTTACATGATAAAGCTACAAAAGGAGATTTGTTAATCAGTAATACGACCAAGTCTCCCTCCTTTCATGATAATTTGACTTCTACTCTGAAGAACTAATGGTTTTTGTAACCATATTTTTACATGATTATACAATAACTTCAGTATTTTCGTCAAATTTCTCAAATAAATAAAAAATAAAAAAAAAATCTGTTCAGATAAATGACCTAAAATCAAACGACTCCTCCAAAAAATTGTATCCTTGACCTTAAAAGTAAAACCTCACCTTCATGACAAAACAAGAGTAGCTACTTCAAACCCGCAGCAATTTTTTCATAAACAATCAACGAAACAAACAAATCCCACATGGAAAATAAAAATAACCCATATCCAAAACCCAAACAAAATCGTAAAAAAGAAAAAAACATACGTGCGTGTGTGAAATGATAAAAAATGGAGAAAATTTTGAAGAATGATCAAACCATCGCCATCCTTGTCAAATAGGCTGAATGCCTCCTTGAATTCAGAGATCTGATCCTCCGTCAACTGCTCAGCCGCCATTTCTCTTCTTGATTGTTTTCTCTGTTGATTGTTGAAGAAATCAGAGAGAAAAAGAGAGATTTTTTCTTTAATTTGTACCTGGTTGGCTGGATTTTGGACAAAACAAGTATGCTTTATACATCAGCAGAATAAGAGAGAGAAACTATTATTCTATTATCTTATCCCATTTGAATTAAATGGAATATTTTCTTTTCTTTTAATTATTGGCCCTGAATATGGAGAAAAAGTACAATATTTTTTACATTATTTTTGACAATCATCACATTACACGAAATAATAGTCGGGCCCACTCGTGTACAGCTACAAAGTGAGTGTGCAGCAGATGAGCATTTTTCATATGGAGAAAGATGACAGAGTTTGCTACACACTCAGCATTTTTTTTTTTTTTACAAGGTGTCCTATTCTAGACTAATTCTTGGGTTTGTGATCCGGCCCCTCTTCACACAGTCCGGTTAATCGCAGGATGTGCCTCCAACTGGCCAGGGTCAGAGCGCTCCCCACCTGGTCTGACAAAGTGCCAAGCAAGCCAATCCAAGTTGCACCTTGCCTTCCAAGAATAATCCTTGTTGATTAATCAAAAGCTTGTTATTTGTTTAATTTTACAATTAAGGGGCATAATCATAATAACTTAACTTGACCGGAGTAACAAAAATCTTTCCCAAAAATATTTTTAGTCAAAATGAAAGTTAAAATATTACATTTTTTTGTTTTTCGACGGGTTTATATATTTAGCCCCTGTTTGAATCACATTATTGTAAAAATGAAAATAAAAAATATAGTCATTATAGGTCCCACATAAGAGATAAAAAAGTCAAAATGACGACTTGATGTGATAAATAATGGTCATATTTTTCATTTTAATGAGAAAATAATGGTGCTCAAATATGACCTTATTATTAGCGGGGAGTATTAGGGCCTATTTGGGAGCGATTTTTTCTCCTAAAAAATTGATTTTTTGACCGTTATTTTACTATTTCAACCATCATATTTGATTTTTTCTCTCACAGGTGAACCCCATTTTTCTTCAAACGGTCAAAAAATCAATTCTCAAGATCACTCCCATACAAGCCCTTAATAACGAGATAATCCTAATAACTTAACTTGAACGGAGTGACAAAAATCTTAAAGTCCCAAAAATATTTTTAGTCAAAATGAAAGTTAAAATATTACATTTTTTTGTTTTTCGACGAGTTTATATATTTAGCCCCTGTTGTAAAAATGAAAATGAAAAATATAGTCGTTATGGATCCCACATAAGAGATAAAAAGTCAAAATGACGATTTGATGTGATGGATAATGGTCATATTTTTCATTTTAATGAGAAAATAACAGGGCTCAAATATGACCTTATTATTAGTGGGGAGTATTAGAGCCTATTTGGGAGCGATTTTTTCTCCTAAGAAATTGATTTTTTTACTGTTATTTTACTATTCCAACCGTCATATTTGATTTCTTCTCTTACAGGTGAACCCCACTTTTCTCCTAACAGTCAAAAAATCAATTTTTAAGATCACTCCCAAACAAGCCCTTAATAACGAGATAATCCTAATAACTTAACTTGAACGGAGTAACAAAAATCTTAAAGTCCCAAAAATATTTTTAGTCAAAATGAAAGTTAAAATGTTACTTTTTTTAATTTTCAATGGTTTTATATATTTATTATTAGGGGGGGGGGGGGGGGGGGGTGTT